GCAGATCCGCAAATGACTTATCCCAGTTACCATAGACTATTTCAAATGCTCTTTTGCGCCCAAGATATGCCTTTCTTTTAGTAATTGTGTGGCCATGTTCCTGGTGGATTGCTGTAATGCACTATTTGATTTTATACCTTATGGACGCTTCGATGTGCGGAATAAGTACAAGAGATATCAAGTCAATATCCAAGTTGAAGTGATTCCCGTTGAAAGTGTCCATTTAGCATGTGTGGGTGGGAATGTATTTACCCACTTTCCACATACCCGTCTTCTTCTTCGATGCACACAACATCCAATTACATGGCCAAAACCACCTGCGGCAAATAGCCTTGTATACCGTCGGACTTGACTCCGATACCTGCATCTCACGACACTCTTTAACATTGTGCATTTTACAAGCCCTGCTTACGCGTGCTTTATCAGGAAAAAGCATCCCCTTTGCAAGCGCCGTTGGTCTAGACTCATCCCACACTGCTGTCCGTATTTCATCAAAATCCCTTGTGAGAGCTTCCACATCCGGCACGGCTGGCAAGTTATCAATATAAGGAATCTCCCTTGAATGAAACGACACTTCAGACTGGTACACTTTTCGTCTATGGGGTGCTCTCTTCAAATCGGGTCCTTCCTCCTCGTCCTCTTCATCACCATCCTCACGAGCAAATGGTGTCTCGTCTCCCGATTCATCGACATTGTTATCGTAATCGCTATTCTCTTCCTCACTCTGTGCATCTGCCAATCCTGATGTAATACGTCATTTTCGGGCAATTGAGTGAGTACGGGTAGTTCAACTTGCTCGTTTTCACTGCACATTTCAACAAAAATATAAGCTACTAAATTAATAAATACTTTACATATGGCTATATCATTTCACTTACAAGTCGTAATGTGATGACATTCCATGATGGACGTTTTCAGTTAGGTGATGACTACCGGATAAGCCACTTGTAAAATTCATATCCGGCCGATACCCCCTATTAAATAAATGAGCGTTAAAATTAATTCAATACGCCAAAAATATACATAATTAACACAAATGAAAATTGAAGTTTACCACTCTTCTTGTGAATTATGGAAAGCAGGGTATAAATTATTTTCTCGCTGCTCATTCGCCGACGGTGATAAATTTAAATCAAGAAAAAATCTTTCATCCGGAACATGTCCGGCAAAAACTGATCCAGAATAACCACTCGATGACTGGGGGTTATCTCTACTACGCACAACCTCATTTTTTGGAACGTCTTCGACCTTCACGTACATCTCCAACATTGTGATTACAAGAAATTCCCGGCATTCGTCCGGAGTCCTCAAGAAATCACTCAAAGTGTCATCATCGTCGATGTTAAACTCTGAGTAAAAAGCAACCCCTTGCGGCGTAACGGAATACGGATATCTTCCGGTTACTTTGAGTATCACTGAACGTTTTCTCACACTCATTTTTTTGCATAACAACGATATCAATGTTTCGTACTCCATTGAAAGTGGCAATTTAACATTACACTTAGCAGGTAAACTGTAGCCCACAGAGTTATTCTCCATCACAACCTCACCCCCCCACCCCCAATATAATGATACTCTTATTCTACGTTCTTCAGACATAATGAAAAAATGCTGGAGAATTTAACAACAATAGAAACCAACAAGAGTTAAAAAAAATTTTTGAATGAAGATATGCGATTCTACGATGTTTATATAGGAAATGGCTAGCCGGAGAGGTTTTTTTTTTTTGTATATAGCGCCGCAAAAAGTGGCTTTATACGCTTTGAATTATTGAACCCAGAAATTATTGGTGGGGTCAGGTAATAAGGGGTATAGCGCCATAAATAGTGACGCTATGTAAGATGTGTCAGCCTTTAATTAATATAGCGCCACTTTTTGTGGCGTTATATATAGTTTGATAACTTTTTTTCTTAACACTTATTTCAGTATTTTGAGTCAAAAAAAACCACATTTTCGATATGGTCCCGTTCGATTCATCTATATCTGTAGGCATTGCAGGTTACTTTAGAGGGTATTAAAATAGGAGGGAGATAATACAGTTTAAAGTTGAGGGTGCAATTGATTTTTCACATTTTTTTAGACGAAAAAATAATTTCTCACATCTTTTATTTGCCTTGAATAAACAGTGGTCTGGAATAAGGCAACTTGATAAAAAGAATGACTCCTTTCTAAATTTGGTAATAATTTAGCTTAAACTTACAGTTATACCCTTAATGAGAAGCTTTTATAACCACATAAATACTCTGGGCCCCTTTTAGACTTGTTTAGGACCACAAATTTCAAAAATCTTCATTTTTTCTTAAACTTTGTGTCCAGTCAAACAGGTTCACATAAATTGGAACACAGGGAGTAAGTTTTATTTATATGTCGTACATTTGATGTGACATAAAGTTAAAAATATTCATTTTCACTTGGTATATTACATTAACTAGAAGTATTGAAAGAAAAATAGTAAAACTTTACTACAGTAATTGATAAGTTCGCTTGATAAAGAAACATTACATCACAATTTAAAATTTGAATAATCTAATGGATTGAAATCATCGGGAGTTGTTAAGTTGATCGAATTAGAGTAATGTCAAGTACTGTGGAATTCTTCATCAAGATCAACATCTTTAGGTCCTAAAATTCTGCGATATTTTGTAGAAAATATGCGGATTCGGGTCATCATTAATCATTTGATATCCATATTGTGGCAATTCCACCCAGAAGTTAATGAGTTACTCCTATAGCACGTCCTTGTATAATGCTCAAGGCTCTCGACTAAGTGGCAGGAGCGACTCCTAATTTACAATGAGCCTAAACGATGCATTCAATAAGTTCTTGCCAATAACCACGTCCACGGAATAATCTCATTTCTTTTGACGTAGAGGGGTGCACCTTCTTCTATTTCTACATCTTGGATTCGGATTGTATCATGGATACTAATATAAATTCAACCATTATGACAAGGAAAGGTTTGATTCAGAGGGAGAAGAAGAGGCAAAAATTGGAACCGGTTGTATATCACCACTGATAAATACCAGAATAAGCAAAATTCTCTGGGCCAAGAGCACCTCCTCAAGTAAAAGCTTCCACGGCCGGTAAACAAAAATGAGGATCCCAAATTGCATGACCAATTGATGTCGAATTTAGACTAAAATGTTCGTTACCCCTTCGATGTATGGATCCGAGATGCTCGAGACAAGAAGTATAGGCAAGCATCCGAAGCTGGATTGAATCCTTTTAACTTGAACATATTACGAGGTGAAGGAGCAACAACTTCCTCACTAATACAAATCATTTCCTCATTGGTCTCTCAGTTTCTATTTTCATTAGCGTTATATAATTTAACACAAGCCTACCAGCCGTATGAAGCCAATATCAAGATTGACAACAATAATCAAAATAGGGAAGTGGAAATGGGCACGAATGAAAGAAATCAGCATTCAGACCTTCCGTTTCTGTTCAAGAAATGTAAGAAGCATCTATAACTAAAACTCAAGCCAAACTTGTAATTTCAGTACTTGTAAGACTAGAACACCATATCTATGTAAACTAGTATATGCAGTGCTTTCGCGAAGAAACAAAAAACTTTCACCAAAAGGTTTCTTGTATGACCTACAGAGTCTATTCGGCAACCTCTATCTTTTCTCCATCTGGAACTTCTGTTTCGTCTGCAGCAGTTCCTTGTTCAGACTGCATTTGGTTTGGAGGAGGTGGCAACAGCTGCACAGTTTCCACAAACTCTTCCATTGTTTCTGTAGCTTCCCCAAAACGGTTGTCATATTCCTCTATTATCTGCATATGTTAAGAAAAGAAAATATATATCAGAACCTCAAGCAAAATCAATATAACATGTAAATGAAAGGGTGACCTCAATGACATGATTTGGTTCGGAAAGCATGCTAGAGTTTTATATAAATTATGAAGTTGGAAGAGACGTTCATACAGTTAATCAGCATGTATTCAACATATGGTTGGCAAGTGGCAACTGGCTATCTAATGACACCTAAAGGCGGGAGTTATCCGAATGCAACACATTAACACCACGCACTCAATTGTACACCAACCATGGAAGCTCGTGAGGATACATGGTCTCATCCTTACCCTTCAAAATCTAATCAAGTAAACCAATTTCCTTTAGCGTACCCAAGGATCCCAACAATCACCTCAATAACAAGGTCACACTCTTGGGGCTTACCATTGTAAACGACTAAACCATGACGAATGCACCATTTTTTATTTGCTCAAATTAGATGAGTGCACCAAGGAGGTAAACTACATCTTCTTTCCTGCTTCCTCTCGATTGGGGAACGGTCATTTATCTATATTTTCCATTGCTTAAAAGTATGGAAAACCTGAGGTGTGCAACAATAATACAACAGCTCACAGATGTCGACAAGTTACAATGCTGCAAGTTTAAATAGTCAATATACCAAGAGCATCATCTTTCCAAACATTACCGGGTAAAGTTCAACAAGCGAAGATGGCCTAATATTGATGATGTTAAGGATCTCAGCTTTCGCGAGCTTGATACTTTTACATTTTTCCAAAAATTCACCAATTGCTTGTCTTGTCTGATTGCAAGCAGCAGTTTGCTCTAAATAATCATACACCTAGAAGATCACAAACATCAGCCATTGCCAGGCCTAATGAAATACTCTCAAACAAGAAGTTGGATAATGTAACTTCCAACCTTGAACTCTGACGGTGCAACAGGAACTATGACCCGTGTAGGATCTCTTCCTGCACCTCTCGAGCATAGAAAGTCAAGCACTTCAAAGTTTGTGAGAGCACCTGCATTTGCTTCAAGTCTGCAAAAGATATTGTATGAGAAATTGACCCAACAACAAAGACCGTGAACTTAAAAGCTCACTGAAGCAATGGGCTTCAATCAGAAACAAAAATCATAAAGTGTTCATACATCTTCATCACCAGAATCCAGAACTCTTCACCGCTCAAACTACTACTCTTCAATTCACAAACAAGCAGCCGTTGCCAATGGGATGTATCTGTAATTTCAAAAAAGCAAGCGTAAGCTTTGCTTTTCCTTTTTTTTTTCCCAGGGAAAAAAGTGCTTTATTTAGTTTTTCTCTTCCTGAGTCATTGTTAGTCAACATTTTAGACAAGTCTAGTGTGCAACATGAAAATGTTTTTGCCATAGAAGAAAACACATATCAACAAGATGCTGCAGTTGTGGCTGCAGCAGCCTTAGAAATGCAACTTCAGCAGCAACTGAATCTTGAGATGGAACAGTGTCACAATACTACTCATAACAACAACAGCATGCAAGAATTGGTACATGAACACAATAATCAAGGAATATCTTGTGATCAATCAAATTGGGGTGAAATGAGCTTTCCTCCATACCAAAATCAAGAAGATAATAATAACTTTCAACATGTTGCTCATGACATACAAAATGGTCATCAATTCACTGCCTGAAGCTCCATATAATCTCCCAACCCCTGATCTTCTCAACATGTTTCCTTTGCCTAGATCATCAATTTCCTTTACAAATACTAATACAAATCAAGCTTCAAATTTATTAACTTCACTAGGCTTACTAGGTGACATTAATATTCCAGCAACAGCAGATGGTGCATCAAATTCAAATTCAAGTGCAGTCTATGATCCTTCTTTACTTCCATTAAATCTACCCCCACAACCCCCTTTACTGAGAGAATTATTCCACTCTTTGCCACATGGCTATGGCTTGAGAAACTTAAGAAGTACTACTTCTTTCTTTAATGGGTTGGAGGAGAGAAATCAGTTAAGTGGTGCTTTGTATCAAGATGGAGAAGAAAGGCCTTTTGACAATGGGATTTTTGAGTTTTCTGCTGACATGAATGGTATTGCTAAAAATAGGGATATTGGTAAAGATACAAAACATTTTGCTACTGAGAGACAGAGGAGGGTGCATTTGACTGACAAGTACAAAGCTTTGAGGAGTATGGTACCAAATCCTAGCAAGAATGATAGAGCATCAATTGTGAAGGATGCTATTGAGTACATCAATGAGCTAAAAAGGGAAGTGCATGATTTAGAACTTATGGTGGAGAAGAAGAGATGTAGTAGAGATAGGATTAAGAGGCAAAAGACAGAAGAAGGTGGTAATTCAATGGATGGTAATGATTCAAAGCAAATGGATGAAGTGGACCAATCTTACAATGGAAATTCATTAAGGAGTTCATGGCTGCAGAGGAGGTCCAAGAATACTGAAGTTGATGTTCACGTTGTAGACGATGAAGTTACTATCAAACTTGTTCAGCAAAAGAGAATCAATTGCCTTCTTTTTGCATCTAAGGTTCTTGATGACCTTCAACTGGATCTTCACCATGTTGCTGGGGGACTTATTGGTGATTACTACAGTTTTCTGTTCAACTCCAAGATTTGTGAAGGATCTACAGTGTATGCAAGTGCAATAGCCAAGAAGCTTATTGAGGTTGTGGACATACAGTATGCAGCAATTGCACCAACTAATAGCTGTTAATTAGTCAGCTCTTTCATATGATTTCTAGAGGGACTTAGAGACATCATTAATAATGATCCAGGAGTTTCAGGTTACACAAATTGGCGCGCTGATCGGCCAGTGGATGATAGTGTTAGTGTTCCTTAGGAGGAATAACTTTGTTGAATCCAAGGAATGAACTGATCAGGAATTCAGAAATAATTACTGGCTAACTCAATGTTTAACACTTCTTAATTTCTAATAAGACATAATATGCTTTGGCAACATAATGTGCTCGGTTTATCTCTGAGGATTTCGTTAGTTAGTGTAACCGTAATACAAAATACAAACTCCTACACTTACAATATCATATCTCCATGGAATTCTGTTATCTTTTGGACACAAAATATAAAATACAATTTCTGCTTGTATTTCACATATATTTTAACGTTTCAAAAAGAACATTTTAGGCAAGTCTAATTAGTTGTATGCTAACACAGCTTCAGAGCTTAGTGGCTCGGGCTTCTTGGAATGAGCTTTGGTTTAGCCAGAGTACTTAAAAAATGAGAACACAAAGTCTTCCATGTTATCCTACTCTCCTTCTTTTCTTCTTTTGCAATGGGGGTGGGTGGGTGGGAGAACATTTGTAATGAAAAGTAATACTGTAGCATATTACAAGTGTTCTCCTAGGTCATAATATTTTTATGAAAAGGTCCATCGGTATTTTATGATGCTCTCATGGCAATTAGAATNAATATTTTTATGAAAAGGTCCATTGGTATTTTATGATGCTGTCATGGCAATTAGAATTCAGTTTTTGCACTTGTGCCATGCTCCTATAATTGCGTGGGTATTAGACTAACTATTAGGTAAGTGCTAAAAGTATCCACTCTAGATATCGTGAAGCTAGATGTCTTTATCCTAATTTTGGTAAAGCTTCTTCGACACAATGTGAATTACTCCAAGCTATTTGATAATTTTGATACATCAAAACATGACAAAAATGTGTGGCACACAAAGGCAAGATTAATCTCTCTATAGGCTATAGCACACGCTGGAACATGAATGGCCTCTAACTATCCACTAATTCAATGAAGTAATATAGAACCCGTATGCTAAAAGTATGATGCATGGGCAAGGATGAAGACGAGAACAATCAAAGTGTAGAAGAAAATGTCAATTAAAGACACCTTTCCAATACTGAACACCTAGAATATACTCAATACAATAACATCCGACGGGGATTAGATGAAAAATTAAACGCTCCAAAATGCAGAAACACTCAAAAAATTTAAAAGAAATTTATCTCTGGACTTCACGAAGAGCAACCAAGGAAATAAAACAAAAAATTACCAAACATATCTTTAGAGATTTTTACAAGAGAGGACCATAGAATAGAGGAAAGAACTTCAAAGCTTTGTTTGCTTATGCACAAAGCACAATAGATATGTCTGAACTAATTTTTGTACTGAAGTAGGAGGATTGCAGCATAAAATTAGTACAGAAGATAGTGAAAAGAATCAAAAGAAAATTACCAAAGTGTGGATACCAGTAGGAGTTCTCGTGCAAAAGAGTCTGCGCCCCAAAATCGTCTTCTGCTTTCGAAGGCAAAAAGAGAGTATTTTGCCCTTTTACCTAAAAGACTAAATTACCCTCAGATTTAAAAGAGATAAGGTAATAACAGAGAATAATTATGTCTTTTCACATATAAAAGCTTAAAAGGGGTTTAAGAACGCCTTCACCCTTTTCTCTCTTTTCTTTTTCCCTTTAAGAGAAGCTAGTTGCCGTATTGAAAATAGTAATTTAAGATGTTTTAATCTAGACCTGTAAAACGCTTCCCACTCTCCTCCCCTCTTTTTCTTTCTTTCCTTATTTTTTATATCGTTTGATTTTTTTGTTTGTTGTCTTTTTCCCTAATTTTACTATTGAAGACATGAGCGATTTGTGAATTCAATCTACCTACATTGCTGTCAGTTAATTTTGTCCTCACTTGATGAATTCAGATAGAGGAAAACCTCGACCTGCAGCAGGTCCGCCTCGCACCATTAATGTGCACAAATTTGCCGAGTCTCGAGCTTCTGAACTTGAGTCTCTTCACTCAATTGTAAAAGAACGATTAAGTAATGATTTTAAATCTCAAAGAAGTAAGAGAAGGCGAACAACTGGACATGACAACAGATTGGCAAAGAGTAGAGTTAGAAAGAAGCAGAAATCAGGAGAGGATAATGTAACTAACCTAGACCATTTGGAGAAAGATACGAAGAAACTTCCACGGCATGTTCGTAGGAAACTTGAACTTACAAAGAATTCTCAGAATGGTTTCTCAACTTCAGGAGATGGGACTAAGAGACTTAGAACTCACTTGTGGCATGCTAAGCGTTTCACAATGACAAAACTTTGGGGATTCTATCTGCCCCTTGGTGTGCACGGCAGGTAATGGTAACTTGCTGCTCTTTCGCGATATGTTCAAAGTGCAGCTACAAAGTCTTAATTTTATCCTGTTGCATTGAAAAAAAAAACATTCGTCATCAAACAAGAAAACACACACTTGTTTAGCTGATTATATAAGGTTTCAATTTGTCTATTGTAGGCTTTCTATTGTGGGAAGAAGGTCCTTTCAATCTTATATTTTGTTATATGATGCAGGGGGAGGGGCTCAAGAGCTCTTTTGAAGAATCTAAAAGGAGGAGTACTTGTCCATGATGCAAGTTATTGCAGAGCTGTGCAGTTGGAGGGTCCAGAGGCAGGCATTTACCTACTCTTTCTTGCCAAGCTTTACTTGATACTTGTTCTAACTTATTTCCATTTGGTCACTGGATTACTTTGACACCAATGGCATCTGATTACATGAACATTTGTGTTACTTATAAAAAATAAATAAATAGACATTTGTGTTTATTTTCTATCAATTATCTACCCAAACCTTGCAATCATGAGCCCAGAAAAAAGAAACAGTAGCAAGGAAATAGCGGTCTTCTGCTAACTAGAGATTGTGCTTACTGCTTATAATGTGGTCATTCACATATTCTTCCAGGATTTGTTGCTGTCAATCCTAGAAACTGTGCTTGTGCCTTCTCCATGTTCACATTGTGAAGATGCTCGTTCTGACATACTCTCTGGTGCTATCTACGGTAGTGCTGAGGTGGGTGGTCCATCTTAGTATTTCGTTTAGAGTGGTATCGCCTCCAAAATTTGCTTGCTTGATACTTCTGTTTCTTTGGCAGCTCCATCATGTAGGAGCTGTCTTTTCTCAGACAATTGCTCCTGTAACCTATATGTGGCAACCACAGCAGTGTAGGAATACCGATACAAAGGTTGATCATGCCAATATATGTGATGAACAAGAGAAAGTTGATGGGCATTCTTCTTTAAGACGGCTATGGGTTTGGATACATGCTGCTGCCTTTAGAGAAGGATGTAATGCGTTGCAAAATGCTTGTGAAAGGCAGGTTGAGTAAAGAATCATATGGTGTCCATTTCTAATAGCTCATATGTACTAGTCTCCTTATTAGTTTCTTCGGTTTTACATGTTGTAGTGACATGATGATGGATGTACACATATTACTTTCTTGATTATAAATGCACATACTGTTCACAGAACATGTAGTTTACTTGCCTGTTTCATGTTTCTGTTATGTAGATGAGAAATATTGCTTCTTGATTTTCAGGTGGATGCAGCTGGCACTAGAGTTAGTTGTGTTTCCCTTGAGAACCATCTCGGGAAGCTGGAAGTGATGGGATCAAGGGCATCTCAGCTTCTTCAAAAGATGTTACATCCTTCGACCTGGTGATACTATTGAAGACACAACCTTTCTTTTTTAACTGAATCAAGAGCATATTAACTGAATATCGTTGTTGCGATGCAGTTCTTCAGTAAATACTTCCGTATTGAAGTATGCATCCTACATTGAGAATGATGATCAAATCCCATCTTCAGCAATCTTCTCTCTCTCTGTTGATGATCCTCGATTTTTGGATAAAGATATTACTAATGCTTCGGAAGCAAAGGTTCAAGATATACTATCTTATAAGAAAGACGAGAGCGGAAGAAATGGAACTCCAAAAAGAGATATGAAATTACTTGTGTGTTCGTTCTTAGAACCTGAAGGGAGTCATGGCTTATCTGAGTGTATTGATCTGTGGGATACTAAAAAGGACATAGATCCTCCAATAGAAGAGAACATCCTTTGCATGGAGAAACACCGTCAGCGTAAGGAGTTGTTTCGCATTGGTGATATGAGCACAGGCAGACAACACCCTTCTATTGAGAGGCAATTTAATAGGTTCTGCCCTCTACTGCTTCTGAGAAGTGATAGCAAGAAAACTTCCATTATAAGGTGAATTTCCCGGCGTTAAGGTTTGGAAATGAACAATAAGTCTGATTTATATTTACACATGGTTACTCAATATACTTTCATGACAAAAACACACTGCATGTGCTGAAACTCGAACTCTCGTGCCACAAACACCTCTTCTATGTCCAAATTTTCAACTTTTGTGGTGAGGTTGATTTAGTAATTCTCATATCACGTATTGCTCTGCTGACACATCTCTTCTGGTTTAGTTGGTAGGCTTAACCTTTGAGGATACATACTTATATGCATCCACCTTAAAGCTCCACCATCTTATTACAAAAGAAAAAAAATGTGGTTATTGCACTTCCTGTGTTCATAGCATGAGTAATTGTCCTATTGGTTTGTGTTAGTTTTCGGAAGTGTATCACATAATGTTATGAGTTAAAACAAACATAATAAAAGTGTGTTTTACTTTGTCCTTGAGAATAAAAAAATAAATGAAAATAATTCTCTGGAAGATAAGTGTGTGTGTATATATACACACGCGCGCGCGCCTATGCGTGGGTGTGGGTGTTGGTGTGGTGCCCTCTCATTTTTTCGTCTTGGTAGATTTTTCAAGGAGATTAAGGAAAACCAAAGTAAATTGTTGTTATATTTGAGTTTTAAGAAACATGTTTAAAGAATAATTGTAAGATATGTAAAGGATAAAAATGTCACCTCAAATATGAAATATCGTATTAAATCAACTCTTAAAAGACAGTATATTTGCAATTCTAGGAAAATTGGTAATCTTTTTTATTGTTAAAATTTGGTATCTTTTTAGGGTAGAGAAGCAAAATGAGGCTACATATAACTATTTCTGTCATAGGGCTGCTAGAAACCTCGTTATTATGACTCAAAATCAATCACATAATACTATTGTGATCGTGTGTTAACTTGAGTGATTATGTATGCGAATTAAGTTTGATTTGATGGATAGAAACTCAAAAGCTTTATACTGTAATAGTTATTCTGCTGTATCTTTATATTTCATGTAACATGCACTCATTTTTCTATCAAACTTTTCAGTATCAAGGACATTTATTTAAATTTCACTGTTAGGTATGCATGTTATACCTTTTCCTTACTTTCTTTTAACTTCATTTCAGTAAAGTTTGCTTTTCTTTCTTAAAAAGCTATTGTTGGTCCTACTGCAACAATCTTGTCATATCTCCTTTGCTGGTATTCATAGTTCACTCACCATTGAGTCTCGTAAATCTGTTTGTATAAGAACATGAGGCAATTGCACTTCATGTTTTGATATGGATTTCCTTGATTTGTAACGATCAAGCAATCGTGTTCTTAAATAGTGAATATCTCATAACTGTTCCTTTAAATCTCTCTTCAGATGGTCTATTATTCTTCCACTGTCTTGGATCAAGGTCTTTTGGATGGCTATTGTGACCAATGGTGCTCAAGCGATTGGTTTGCGAGAGAAGCACTGGATATCTTGTGAAGTCAGTATGGATGTTCTGCTTTCGCTTTGAATTTGAGTCTGACATCACTTTTAAATCCCAATTTATGTTTTTCCTATTTGCAGCTTGGGTTGCCATGCTTTCCAAGGGAATTCCCTGATTGCAGTGCATATTCTTGTTTCATGGCCTTGGAGGAAGCTGCTTATGATAAAAAGTCAGAGCTCCGTTCTCCTCACACAAGGACTTGGAAAGTTCCAGTTCCATCTCCATGGGACAGTCTCCGCCTTGCTATAGAAGCACTCAATGGGGCAGCTCATGGTCGGGTACAACATGAACAACTTTTACCAGATGATATGATCAGAAATATAGCAATGAATAGTCCATACCTGAGAAGTTGCAAAACAGAAAAAGAGAGTAGTTGTGGTGCTCCATTCGAGGGATTTGTTGCTAGGACATGTAATGTGCTGACTCAGTTTTTGGATGAAATCAAAGGTAGCCATCTACTTTTATTTCCGAAAGTGCTTCACAGTAAGAAGTGCATCGGCAAATTTATGAAGGACGAACGGATACTCAATGAGGATGCAGATGGGGTCATTTACCAGATAAATCAGGACCAAAAATTGTGTTTGGTCAGAGTTCTTTTGCATGCCTACAGAGAAGGTTCTTTCGAAGAAGGAGCAGTTGTTTGTGCACCTCACATCGATGATGTAATGTTGTGGACAACCAGGTGACAATTGTTATCCATTTTGTATTCAGTTATTTGCTTGCCCTGTCTATTTACTTATACTTATTTGTTGCTGATGGAGCTTTTATCCAGCAGTTTGAGAATTTCATATGCTACACAATAGAAAATGCAGGACTAAGCTCACTGCTAAATGACAATGTTTTGAGAATAAACATTTTGGCAGATTATTCTTGACCTCATATGTGATGACTACGTGAACTTCTATCTAACGCTGTCCACTATATTAGAGCCTACTTTTGAGACAGAGTATTTAAAATCATTTCAACAATTGTGCCATAGTTATGCAAGAATTAGTTATGCAGATAAGTAATGCAGGGATTGGTTGCCGGAATTAGTTATACTTGTATTAGTTATTCCATCTTCTACCCCGCATAAAATAATATGTAAATTGACTCAAAACTTATACGTGTTTTATTTATGTGGAACGTAAAATGCCAACCAAACATTTCATCTGTTGTGCTAATTTTATACAAAGTAACTAAAGACTGCCAAACATGATATTAATTATGCTACTTCTAATACATGAATAAATTACTCCCTACAATCTTATTGATGCTTGCGAATCTTCTGTTAAATAGAAGTAAAGGAAGTATTACTTGATCCCCCAAAAAAAAAAGAAAGTAATGGGAGCCTTAAGTGTTTCTTATTCTCAAATGCACCTCTTTTGAGTTATCAATTCTGCAGATCAGAGATCTCCAAAGGAGATTTTCAAGTACCTGAGTCCTTTGCGAGATCGTGCTTCTCCCAGCAAGCAACTGGTAAATGGGAATTTCAAGTACATGAAGAACCTGCTGCTAAAGAATCTTGTAGATTACCGATTGGCTTTATTACAACAGGATTTGTTCGAGGAAGGTTAGTAATGCTGCAATGTAACTGTAGTATTATCTCAGATAAAAAAAAATTTAAATTGGAGGAAAATTTAGTTTTACTAAAGTTATGATCTGTTCTTTCATTTTGGCACTGAGTTCATCTGAATTTATCCTGCAGCAAAAAGCCTGTTGCAGTGGCTCTTTGCGAAGCTGTCTGTCTTGCTCGCCTGAGAGAGGAACAGTGGAAGGCTGTAGGTGATAGGAAAAGAAGGAAGGAGATCTATGTCCTGGTTAGAAATTTAAGGTCCACGGTGTATAGAGTTGCTCTTGCTTCTATCGTCCTGGAACAATGGGAAGATGATTTGGAGTGCATGTGATTAGACGAGGCCATGAGGGTTAATTAAGATTACTAACAAGATTTATGCAGAAAACTCGTTGCAATCTCATGTGTGAACTCTGATATGTATTTACCTTAAGATTGCATCAATATTTATTCAAATGTTCAATATCAACAGATTGAAGAGAGCTTTAGTCTAGTTGAAATTCTAGGGGAAACTTTGTTATATTCTTTTGCTATTTTCTTCCTGTGCAAACCAATGCTTGATTTCGTTAGTTTACTTTTTTTATATTTAGTTAATATAAACAGGAACAGAACTGGATTTGTTCTTCAAATGTTATTTGCTTCTTTTCTTGAGAGAACAATGCTATGAATCAAAGAACAGAGAATAGCAATTGTCTCCTGTTTAACCTCATAAATCCAATCAAAATCACTATATCTGGTACTTAAAAGGAGAGGTTCACATAGAAGCATTTTTTTTTTCTGTTCGTGGTCCTTTTAATTCAGTTTCATCTGTTGGATATTTGTTGTAATTTTTCTTTTCTCTTTTACTTTTTTTTTAACAAGAATATTTCACAAAATTCTTAACCAGTACCAATGTTATTGAGTAATCAGAATTAATGTATTCATAACCATAGTTCACTACTGGAAAATTCTGTCCAATCTGTAATAGCAAATTCTTAACGAGACAGCTGATACCACATTAATGCAGAATAACTCTGCTTGGATGCTCAACTTGTTTCATCTCTTCTAAGTTCTAAATCATATAACTTACACAAGAAAATCAATATCTTGTAGCTCTACAGGTAGTGTAACATTCCCATCTCTAATAGCCATCAACTCACTTGATTTCCCTTCCAAATAAGCTTCCAAAAACGTAACCAGAATCCCTCCAACAAATCTCCTCATTGGTTCTCTAGATTTCCCTTTCTTGCACAAACAATAAGTAGCCTTGCCTCTAATCCCTTTTGTTTCATCATCTAACATATCATTATGTCCATAATCCTTTGCCACAAAGTAACAAGCTGGCTTGCAACATTCACTGTAAAAATCGCGATGGTTTACCCCATTGGGAGCACAAGCTGGGAAGAGAGGGTTCTTTTTTACTTCTCCCAAACCCGAGCCAATTACCATAACTGCCATATCAAGATTGAAGGAATGACGAGTATAGGTGAGAACCGCTGGTGGAGTTTGTTTTCCTTTGTCCATGCCATCAACAGGATCAACACCGATCAATGCTGAAAATTTCAGGTTAGTAGAAATATTAGCAATTTTTCCAAGAGCTAGCGCGAATGCGACTTTTCCTCCACGGCTATGGCCTGCTAGTCCAAGTTTTTTCAAGTTTGGCTCAACTCCGGATGGAAGGTAATGGTGCAATGCTTCAGCTAACCAATTTGTGATTTCAGCAGTGAATTTGATATCCTCAGTTGCATCTGCTCCTTCCACCAAATATAACTAGTAAAAGGCAAATGTAATGTCACTTTGAGAACCACAAATGAAAATCGATTCAAGTTACATACACTGAAATTTATGTTATGGATTTTAGAAAATATACAAGCAAGGTTGAAAAATAGGATTGAAAAACTGTCTCTAAAATTTTATTAATCATAGGGCTTTAAATAGTTAAATAAATAAAGTAGTAGACTCCTCCTACAACTAAATTACTAAACTCTTACTATAATTAAAATTCTGAATCTTCTAGCAGACTACTCCTAAAACTAAACAACTAATTATTTTAGGAAACAATAGCAGTAACAGATGACAAAATCCAACAATTTACACTATCAATACAGTTGTTTAACGTGTGATAGCAGATTAGTTATCACCTGTACTCGGTTACCAAAGTAATACTTATCATAGAAATTTACTAGTAGTTATCTTATTAATGGCCTGAATTAGTAAAGATTTTTAATACTGTCACCGTACAGCACTTAAACTCAATGAAGGGGAGCCTTGACGTAATTGATAAACTTGTTGTCATGTGACAAGGAGGTTACGAGTTTGAGCCGTGGAAACAGCCTCTTGAAGAAATGCAAGGTAAGGCTGCGTACGATAGAGCCTTATGGTTTGGCCCTTCCCCGGATCCCGCGCATAGCGGGAGCTTAGTGCACCGGGCTACCCTTTTATGACACTTAAACTCAGTGAAAATAAAATAATTGTTCACTAAGTATACTGTAACGATTGGTTGATTTATAAATCATTATCCTAGATCTTAATTTGCTAATCCAAAAACTGTTAATTCTAGTTATAAATAGCATGCACTAATAAATCTCTGCTTCCCAATAACCTCATATTATATCAATATTTCCTTTACCAGACTTTCAATTGTTTTGAAGAGGATACCAAGAACAAGAATAAGCTAAGTACTATCAAAAAAGTGAAAAAGGAACAAACCTGAGGAGCCACAACAATGAAGCCATGAGAAGAGACATGTTGAATAAGCTGAGAATAGAAAGAATTGTAAAGAAGATAGCCATGAAGAAATATCAGTACAGGGTAGCTTCCTGCTGATGATGGGGTGGCAATCAAGAGAGCCTTTGGAGGAGAAGGATGACTGTTACTACATGTTTGTGGCTCAATTTTCACAAACTTAGTCTTATAATTTCCTACATCAAAAACAGTAGTGGAAGTAGTAGAACAAGTAACAGAGGAGGAGTAACTTATCACCATGTCTGAGTAGATCTTTTTGTAACTCTTTAATCTATTATATTGTAACTTATCACCATGTCTGAGTTTATATATATATATATATACTTTTTTCCTTCTTTTCCTTCTTTTCCTTTGGTTAAGATAAAGTTCACTTTTGTGGTCTTCATAGACCCACCTTAGTGTGTTTTCTAGTGTTTGGGATTTTGGCAATGGGAAAGCAGGAAACTAAAGTCTGCTAGATTTTTGTCCTTGGCTAGATGGACATCCACGTATCCAGGATTTAAATCCTATGGTATTTCAAAGTTTTCGTATTAAATTCATTATATTTTTAAAAGTATGGGTTCATATATCACTACTAGAAATCCGGGAAAAAGCGACCAAAAATTAGCGATCAAATTTGGTCTGTCAAGAAAAGCGACCAAGGTTGGTCGCCAAACTACCGAAAATAATAAAAAAAATATTTGAAATATATTAGCGACCAAAGTTGGTCTCTATTTGGCCGCAAATTTAGTCAAATTGTTGACTGGACTGGTCAGACTTGCTTGGTCAAATATATACTGAGATTAGCGACCAATATTGGTCGCTAAAGTGGGACCCACATTAAATTTGTTAATAATTTTATTATTATTTTATAAAACTTATAAAATATAAATATATATAATTTAAAACTTGCAACCAAAGTTGGTCGCTAATTGAAGGATAAGTTGGTAGCGACCAACATTGGTCGCTAACATGGGACCCAGTTATAATATTTTAATAAATATATATTTATTTAAAAAAAATTTAAAATATAAATAAATATAATTCAAAAGCTAGCGACCAACGTTGGTCGCTTAATGAAATAGAGACCAACGTT